CTATCTCATCCCGAGACCGATCAACAATCCCACGAGCTACCCTTAGCTCGTCATGAAGAGATGTCAGAGATGTCTCGTTCTCAAGCTGAGCAAAGGCAAACTCAGCTCGATGCTTCAAGGCAGTGTCCGCCATTTGGAGACGCCTATTCCGCTCATGCTCGAGATCGTCGCGTAACCCTTGCGTTACGCGATCAAACAAGCTCTCGGGAACACACGGATCCCCATGATCGTGTGGAGAGCGTCTTTCCTCCTCCTCCACCTCCATTAGAGGACTCTCGCGGTGGCCAGCGCTATCTAGTTGAGCAGCTGTTGAACCACCGCGACGTGAACGGACGTCGGACGAGTTATCTCGTCCGGTGGCGCGGCTATCCCCCGTCCTGGGATTCTTGGGAGCCCCGCTCCCAACTGATGATCGACGTACTGGGTCTGGTTGAGCAGTACGACGCGGCACATCCTGTGCCGCAGAAGGACCGCCGTAGAAAGTCTTCCCGGCACGTTCGTAAAGGGATTTCAGGTTGTCAATCCCTTCGTACATCTCAGTAGAGATACGTACGCGCCACCACGGGCTATTAGGGAGGTAAGCCTCCTTAGGTGCTCGTGCAGAGTTGTTTACACAACACGGGCACGAGTCTCCCCAGGAGAGGCAGGGTAAACCACCCTCCTTAGACAGACGATGCAGCTTGTAGCGTGCACCTGTCGGGGTTCGCTTTTCAAACTTATCACGACCTTTGATAAGTTTGTCGTTCCAAACGTCACGGCCTACATCCTCAAGGTTATGGATGTAGGCGTTCCACGCTTGAAGCAGTGAGGGACCATCACGCTTGTGATTCCCACTGTACCATCGATGTCTAAAGAAAGCATCGATGAAGAATTCATGTTCAGCGCGATAGTTTTTCGCGCTGGGGTCAAGGCGATGGATCCTTGACGAATCGAACAATCGTGTTCGATAACGATCACTCGTCGTCGCCGACAAGTGATCCATGACGGATTTTGGAGGCATCCATTCCTTCTTCTCGGGGGCGAGACGCAACACATTGCGGTCCCGCTCTTCCTGCGACGTGCGACAGAAGTACTGGCACCTCGCTGTGAAGTGGTGTCCATAGGAGAACCGACACCACTATTAGCGCCTGAGTCTCGCGACCTCGAGCGCCTTCGCTTCGGCGATGGTTCATCTGATTCATCAGATGAACCAAAGATGCTGCGACACAAAGCATCGTCCATTCCACGCTTGGCAGGCGGCTTAGATTCAATCGCCGTCGATACGGATCCGTCATCCGTATCAGGAGAGTACGAGACACCGAGCTCGTACTCTGTGAAGACACGAGTGTCTTCATGACCAGCGCCTGCATCACCAAGTGACACAGGCTGGGTCGCTTCAGCAACCGATGAGATATCAGTTGCTGTAGTTTCTGCTTCGGCGTCCGCACAGAGACGTGCGGACGCGCTCTCGGCGGCCTTGCTCGCGCATCGCATGGGATTGTTAACCATGCGATGAGATGTTGGAAAGTGGACTCGGACCAACAAGTGCAAACATTATCCCAAATGATTTGGGACGAGTATCCATTTAGTCAATCAGTCACTAAAGTGACTGATGATTAAGGGGGGTGATGTAATGGGGTGAATCGTTACATAACAATTTATAAGAAATTGTTAATAGAATATAACTATAAGAGTTATATTCTCAGAATATTGTCATAAGGACAAATATTCTGTAGCACTTACGAGTAGTTCCTAATTGGTTGATATAGGCCATTATATCAACCAACGAAGACGCGCCACGACAGACGCACGCAATGAGTGGCGAGCAGATATTTGATTTACACATTTGTATTTAGACATAGTTAGATGAAGATAAATAGTGATTTATTGCAGACATTAACTATTATAAATACAGTTCTACTTTTTACTTTAACCAAGTACTCGCTTCTTCTTACCGTCTTCCTCTGCACGTACGAGTGTACGTGAAGTTCCGAGGCACCGCCTTATTCTGTCATCAGAATAAGTAGCTTGTACTGGTGACAGTACAAGCTTCAGGGTGCACCGTTACAATAGCGACAGCATGGTAATTCCACTTGCCAACGATAGCCGGTCTTCTTATCTTACTTACTGAACGGCTAAAGTTTGAATGAGTAGATCAAAGGTTGAGAAAAAGAGTCTCTCGCTTGTTCCCCCGCGTGCATATTCAAATCGCACCACTTATGGATAATGTGTGTGCGTGCGATCTACAACACCATTACCGCAAACACACCATGCTTGGACAAGCCCAGAACGAAGCGCCAATGCACTGCATGTCTGGATAGATGGACCAACTGGTCGGTACAACAAAAATAAAGCCTTATAGCTCAGCTGAGTAAAGGGAAGTGCACGCTAACTGAATCAATAGGAAAGCTGTTTTACTTTTATGCTGGACAGTTCAACACTAAAGATCCTTCTCCTCGAGAATCGTGTGATGGGAGCAGTACCACGCAGGTAGAATACGTGCTTGGTAGCGCAGCTGTAACGAATTCCCCTTTGTTAAAGGTGCCACAAAACTCCACGCACACTAGTACGTGCAGAGGAAGCTAGTCTACTCAACGACTAAGTTTTATAAAAATAAAAACAGAGCCGAAAATTTGATATAGTTAAGCTATCAATATAACTTTAATCTTTATCTAATGCACTGGTCTACATTGGCGTATGACGACAGCCTGCACACCACTCATTGCGCTTGTCTAGCGGCGATTGGTAGTAGTCTTGGTTGATATGTCTTTTATCAACCGATCTTTGAACAGCACATGAACATTATCCTAAGGGAATTACACTGTCTACATTAGTACCTATCTCGGGTATGATTGGCAGGTAATTGTCACGCTGGACAATCTCACTGTTGACACCGTTTGGTGTCAATATCATGTAACGGGCTACCCCGTTACATCACCCCCCCTAACCTTTAATCGCCCGTTGATTGATTAGAATTGATTAAGACAGGGTGACCACCGTTGGATCACTCTGGGAAAGGGAGCACTTGTTAGGCAAATTCCAGTCATTTGCCAATCCAACGCATGGTTTCGAAAACCACGCGAGTTGCTACTATAGCAGCAAGAAGGGCGGCTGCACGCATGCGTGCAGCCGGAGAGAGTACTTCTCACACCTCAGCAGCAGGTGATTCGTCGCCTGTTGTCGTGAATCCTCCACTTGGTGAGTCACCACGTGCGACAGGTACATCCGCTGCGTCTGCAGCGGGTACTGCGAATCGTAATCCAGATGAGTCTGAAGTAGAGCTCTCATATTCTGGCGAGTCGGATGATGTATCCGAATCGAAGGCGACACCACACGCCGCCGGATCACCCAGGGCGGACACTGCAAGAGCCAGGTTGACTGGTTCTGGTCAACGTGGCGGTATCATGTCCGAGATCTTCGGATCGAGCTATTGTTCCGACCAATTCTCGCCTCACGCAAGTCCATTCAAAGATAGGACGCGCGGAAATGGTAGTGATGCACTTATGCATCACCACGAGCGAACTAACTTGAGGGATCGAGGTGTCACTGGTGTCAGTACTCACGCTGGCACCGATGAAAAGGCCAGGGGCCGAAATGTCCTCGCCACGCTCCCCAAGTGGAATCTCCGTGGATGTCATCATCCAAAGGTTAGATCGAGTGGCCGGCATGACCACCGAACGGGATCGAATGCCGTTATACGACTGTAGGAGGATCTGCCCATCTAATTTCAGCACGGAAACTATCTGTGCTGAGGAAGAATTCTTCACCGATGCGTTTTTCAAGTATAGGTGGTACACTGGCAACCGTGGTCGAGACGGTAAGGCCTTGGTGTAAGGATGGAATGCCTTCATCCAAAACATCGAGTGCATTGGCCGTGAGGCTTGGCTCGGTAAACTTGATGCAGCTCGCATCAGGTTTGAGAAACGCAACCCAGTCGGGGCGCGATACAAGATGCACCAACTGTCAAGAGAGGCAGGGTTACCCCTGTCTCTCGTGGGATTATTCGTGTCCAGGTTGCCTGGAAAACTCAAATTGTGTCCCTAGGGAGACCTACCTCCCTAATGATCCCCAACGGAGGGTGTGCATCTCTTCTAAGATGGCCGAAGGAATTGTCAATCTGCAATTCCTGTACTCGCGTTCGGGGAGGTCGTTTTCCGACGGCCCTTCTTCGAACGCAGCGTGTGGGTCTAGTCATATTGCTCGACGCAGAACATCAACAATCAGCTGGGCGCGAGGCTCCCAGCTGTCCCAGACCGGAGGATAGCCACGCCAGCAGACGAGGTAACTCGTCCGGACGCCCTTCACGTCTCGGTGGTTCATATACGCTCCACCAGAAAGCGTTGACCACCGCCTGAGTCCACCAAAGGATGTGGTGGTGGCGGGAACATCTGATTCGGCTCGAGATTCGGATCAGCTTGATGTTCAGGAGCTGAACGGTGCAACGGAACAGTTGCACGATGACCTGGATCATGAACGGACTCGGCGTTAGGAGCTTCAGGATCTTGTAAGAGATAATTACAATTCCTTAACGCACGATCGCTTGGACGATCGTGCCGCGTTTGCGTTCGCGCAACTTGAGAACGAACGAATGCTCGACTCGTTCTCTTCGTGACGAGCTGGCTGCAGCTCGTCAGGACATCGCTCAACTGTGTGAGCAGGTCGCTTCGCTAGTCGACCAGACTGGCTTGTTTAAACGAGACCACTCGAAGGTGGTCTCGGTCCTTGACTACGGACGTGTTTTTCGCCTTTAGAAACGGGCTCTTACTGATAGTACGGGCGGAGAAGTCCAACGTTAAACGTAGGATTCGTACGCATCCTACAAGGTAGTTTAATCTTGTTTGCATTGCCCATTCGGCGCAACAAACGAAATGGACCGATACACTCGGGCAGTAATGTACTGCCGCCCACGGTTGTCACTGCGTGTTTTGTTAGATTTACTGTACACAATAAAACTAAGTCTCCTTCATTGAATGAAAGAACATTTTCTCTCCCATGTTTGTCTGCGTTTCTTTTCTGTCTGTCTATTGCGTCTGCAATAGAGTCTTAAACGAAGCGGACAACCGCTTGCGAGTCAGCAGAAATTCCTCTGCTGAATCATCCTTGTTAACAGCAGCGCGCCTCGTCTGCACTGCTAAAAGAACGTTGTATTTATCAGTGAGGGCGTCATCGTCGTCACTATGGCAGTCATTGGAGATGCTGAATATACCAAAATCGTCGTCATCATCATCATCGATGCCGATGTATTCGACATCGGCAGCCATCACGTCGACACCATTGTCGACGAGTGATGAGCAAGAACAGAACGGTTTTGGTCGAGCGATTACACCCCTCCTTAAACTAGAGTCACAGTCTCATAAGGCGGGTAAATGTGGATGGCGTTGGTCATTCACGAAGAACGGTGTATGCGTCGTCGACGCACACACCGAGTTGTTAATGGCGAATTCAGTCATCGACAAGGACTCACTTCCAACTATCAAACGAGTGAACATGCGCTCGAAGTATCTCTTCGAGAACGCGGTTGACGCGTTCCGTCTGACCATCTGTTTCTGGATGGTCAGAAGTCGACATCTTCAAACGTGTTCCAAGTGAACGGAACACGGATTACCAGAACTCTGCTGTGAAGCGGGGTTCCATATCAGACACGAGTTCACGGGGTAACACGTGAAGTCGGAAGATAGTATCGATGCAGACACAAGCACAGCCTTGGGCTGTGATTGACTCCGGTACAGCAACAAGATGTACCATCTTGCTGTTCCGATCAGCAAACACAAGAATACAGTATTCTTATAAACCTCTTTGGAAAACCCAAAGACGAAGTCCATCATAACGGACTGCCAACACTCTGCCGGAATCGGAAGAGGCTGCGAGAGTGCAAGGGATGAAGGACTAGGCTTCACCCGTTGACAAACTTCGCAAGCGCGGATGCATTTGCGCACAAATCCATACTGGCGTGACCAGTAGAAGTCACGACTTACCGTGAGGCAAGTTCTTTTTTTCTACCACGATGCCCACTTGATAGGAATCGTGACATTCATACAAAATACGCAATCGCAAATCATCATGAGCGGGAACGGCGACACGAGGTGTGTCGCCGTTGACTACTGTATAGTACAGCATTTCATCAAGAACCGAATATCGTTCGGTTGAGGAGCGGTATTGAGACGACAGGATTTTCAAAGCTTGACTGCATGGCTCAGATACGTAATTATGAATTGCAGAAGAGACTCATCTTTTAAGTATGCTTTCCGCACGTCATCGAGCAGATTCGATGACGTAACACTCACTGATAGTGTTGCAACAGTGGAATTACCCGTACCGTTGGGTTGAGCAGTCGGCTCGAAGTCGGGCCGACGCGAAAGAGCATCAGCGACGACATTAAATCGTCCTGGTTTATACTAGATGGAGAAGTTGTACTCCGCGAATAAAGACAGCCACCTCGCTATTCGTTGCGAGAGGTGTGGACTATTTACGGCCGTGCGTAATGACGCATGGTCGGTATCAACGATGAAGGGCCTATTTCCTAAGAGACGTACCCGAAACGTAGCCAATGCATATATCATGGCAAGGAGTTCCTTGTCATGAACCGGATAATTACGCTTAACTGCTTGCAGCTGACGCGATTAATAACAGACCCGATGCGCTCAAAACTGTCTGAGTCGTACTGCATCAACGCGCAGCCTATTAGGCGTCACAGACCACGTAGAATGGTCTGTCTTGGTCTGCAATCGCCAACACAGGCGATAGTATCAAGCTTTTCTTGATACCTTCAAAGGAGTGCTGACACTCAGCACTCCATGGCCACCTCTCAATTTCTTTAACAGAAGAGAGAGGTGAACGGTCATCTCGGTGTAATCGCCCTAGTACTTGTGCAAGTACGCCGCTAAGCCAAGGAACTTTCGAAGTCCCTTGACATCGATCGGCACGGGACATTTGGTGATCGTCTGGATCTTTTCCGGGTCAGGTCGCACGCCGTTTTTTACCCACGATGCAGCCAAGAAGTGGTATTTTGCTCGCTGCGAACATACACTTCTTGAGGTTCGTGAACAACTTATGCTCTCGCATAAGTTGAAGAATTTGACGAACGTAAATTCTGTGAACATCCACGTCCGTCTTTTCATCCATAGGCCAGCTATGGACAAAGAAACCGTCAAAGTAACTCGGGGCGAAGCCTTGCAACGATCGCAACCGATTCATGACACATCCTTTGAACGTTGCGGGGGCGTTACTTAGCCCTTGTGGCATCACTATCCACTTCCATAGCATACCACTGAGGGTGCTCACTGCTATGTAAGGGATGTCCCGTTCACGCATGAGGATCTGATAGAATCCATCCATCAGATCCATGGACGAAAAGATGTTACTTTTTGCCATACCATCAATGATGACGTCCTTCCTTGGTATCGGTGTCTGAGCCGGTACCGTTGCAGCGTTCAATTTGTTAAACGCGTGCACTATCCGCCACCCTCCTGTGGTCTTTCGCACAAAGAAGGTCGGAGAGCTATGTGGGGAAGTTGATTCCCTTACATGACCAGCCGCTAAGCAATAAGAAAAGAATTTGTCGATCGCTGTTACCTGTTCATGAATCAGGGGTCACTGCTTGATGAAACAGTACTTCGAACCGGGTTTCATTTCGATCGCATGCCGAGTGCCTTTGTCCTTGGGCAGCTCGCATGGCACGGATTCAGGGAAAACATCCCTGAATTCGACCAAATCCTTATACAAAGGATTTGTCTTCAAAGACTCCCAAGATTGGGACGTGTTCCGCTCAATGCGGGTCTTCTCATCGAGGATACTCTTGTCCATCGATGAGATACTTAGAACTTGTTTGTTATCAGTAAACACTTGTGCCGACCGAATATCGGCGACGTACTCGTCCTCTGTGACGAGTGCGCAGATCTGCTTGATGTTGTCACTACGCAGATCTCGCAAGAATCTTACAGGTTCTAGCGCTGGCAACTTGATTACTCCCGAAGCTGACTTGGGGGGTGTAACTAGATCAAGTGTATAAGTGCCTACATTTGATCCGTCATTCACCAAGACATTCACTGTCTCCAAGCTTTCCTGGGAAAACACATCCGCAGGTGGTTGGGGATCTACACCCTCTACACTCTTAGGAACGCTGGAACTTTCTTCCAATACGTGTTCTGAATGTGGGTGCACTATCACATTCACGTCCTCTTCGATCGACTATCTTTCAGTCGATCGTGTTTGCTTTACGATCGACTCTCTATAATTTTATGTCGCTTCAACGTGTTGTTCATCCTCAACAACACTAATCTCTCTTCTTGGATGCACCCTTCTTGGTGTGCATCCATGTTCCAGTCCACCCGATCTTTTCGAGTGGTGAACCTTCGGCGTAGCCTGTGTCTCTACACAAGTACCGGAAGATGGTTCCACCGTGTAGTGGCTTTCTATACTGTGATCTTGTGCAGTCGTACTGACGACCGTACCACAAGTGAGGCTATATCACTCATGCGTAGTACATCCACACGCTCGTGGACGCTCCAAGCCGTTTTTACCTGTCTCGGTTTTAGCGACATGGTCGGACCCACGACTTGGACCTTTCATTGGCCAACGGCGGTCATCACGTTCCGTCTCTGGAAGTGATGCGGTGATTGGGACACTATACTCATGAGGGGTGTGACCCATCTTCTGAAAGCGATGGCATCTTGCCGTTCGCTTGTGACTCAGAGAGCGAGAGTTCTCGCTCTCGATGTAACAGAGGTCCATTGGTTCGGGACCTCCTGTTTCCTGTCGTCTAGTCGGACGATAGTTTGACGAGTTAGCCTGAGAATGTCTCAGGCTGAAGGCTTCTTGCTTCGCATACGCTATCGCCTTTTCCTGCGTATGGAAGTCCTCTTGGAACATGTAGGTCTTCACCGGTCCATCTACGAGGCCGTATATGAACACGTTGGTGAGCGTGTGCTCATCAACAGGGTTTTTCGTGACGCTAATCTCAAGTTAGCGTAGGTGTTGTGCGTAAGCGTGCACATTACGCTTACCTTTCTGATCCTCAAGAGTGCAGAGCGTGCTCTAGACTCGGCTCTTGGTGGCTCAAACATTTCTTTGAGCCGAGACTTCAAGGTCTCTAACGACTCAACACGTTTGGGTCGTGAAGCCTGAGACCTAAGGCCCAAGTCTTTGCTCGTCCCGTCAAATTTGACAGGGCGAAGGTGACTTGCATTTTGTCACCCTCGATGTGACGGGCCCTGATGGCATCGTCTAACTACACGAACCATCTCAAGGAAGAATCTTTATCGGTTTCCTTGTACCTTGAGATATCTATCTTCAAGGTTTCGGGTTGATGCGTGTGTGTCGGCCCGCTCATCTACTGATGAGAACCTTGCTGTTGTAGCAAGGCTATATTTTGTCTTTAGACGGCAAGTTCCCCTTGTAGGAACTTGTTGATAGCGTCATGTTGATGGTTTTTGTTTAGAGACTCCAACATGCCACTGATGGCGGGATCGCTTATGAGCACACTCATGCGGCCGACTACCTCCCATTCTAAGTCACTCAGATGGAAGTAGCCTTCACGTGTGACGTGAAAGCTGTCGTCTTCTACGTCCAACGTGTTCCTGTTGGACGGACACTAAGTAGTCGTTGGACGGAATACGAAGTGCTACCAGGTGTAACGGGGCACCCTTTGTTTGGGGTGCCGCGAAACTTCTCGTACACTAGAACGTGCAGAGGAAGCTAATATACTTGAACGACTCGTTCAAGTGAAGGTAAAAAGAGAGCTGCATTTGATATAGTTAAGCTTTCAGTATAACTTTAATCTTTATGTAACTATATTAATCAACATTGTCGTATGACGACCACCTGCTCACTACTCATTACGCTTCTAGCATCGATTGGTGATAATTTTGGTTGGTATGTCTTTTATCAACCAATCTTGGAGCAGCGTATGAAAATTATCTAAAAAGGGATACTATTCCTCCAATAGTACCTATCTCGGATGATATTGGCAGCGAATTGTCATGCTAGACAATCTCCCTATTGCCACCGTTTGGTGTCAAGATCATGTAACGGGCTACCCCGTTACAGTCACTCCTTCGATAAAAGGTATTATCTTAGGTTTCAATGTTGGTGCCCCTGAAAATCTTTCATGACTTATCACTCTTGATAAGCATGGAGGTATCAGGTGCGAGCTGCAGATTAAGCGCTGGAGAGCCTCGAGTACGAAATTGTGGTCGTTCTCTCTCAGTGTTGTGGCTGATTTATTGCAATCAAGGTGGCCAAAGTAGAGCTGGCATTTGTGTTGTCTCAAAATTGATTGCTGGACCGGTGGCCTACCGACATCATGTTTGGTACGATGAGTTCATGGAAAACTTTATATTGATGCATTCTCTTCACTACTTCACCATAAGTTTTAATAGAAAATCGTACAGATGTAAATATTCCGTCCGGGTTTTATGGTCAGCTTCTATGGTGTGTCGAGGTACGAAGCAGAGCGAGTGGGTCCAACGAAAGGTAAAATAGCCAGTATTGAATCCTCGGCAAAAGTGATGAGCGCTGTTTCCTCATTTTGTTTTTACCAACCACCTCTTGTTATTACATACCAACTTTAATAGCCACACCATTCAGCCGTTTCTGTCTTTGGAATACAATTACAACGTGAGACTAGGAAGGAGGCTAGTCCAGATAAAGGTGAGATCACAATAACTTTATACATATAGCGTCAGGTGTGGGTGAGGTGATGAGTAGAGGAGGGTCAAATATTTTGCGTTGCAATGTGATTATCTCCCTTGTTTTTTGTTTATATTTTGAGGGCACCGCCATCGTTAGGCCCTTTTAATTGAAGGGTGGTTGCGCTATAAGTAGAGGCACCGCGTTGAAAGATAAGGATAAAATCTTTTTTTAAGGGTGTCCGCGTAGTAAGTCGGGGGGGGGGTCTACCTAGTCAGTCCCTTCTTTTATTTTCTCATTATACAGTTTTTTATTTCCAAAACCAAACGGGGCATTACCTTTCCTTATACCTTTTCTATTTTGCAATTATTCAGGGCATTTTTCGTCCTAATAAGCTGGGCATTTTTTAATCCCCTTTTTATTTCTGTGATTAAACAAAAACATTTTTATTTTCATTATACTAATTTCCGAAAGGTGTGAGAAAGAAAAATATCGAGTCACGCAAAGATAGAATCCGTGAGACTAATTGCGGTGATCACGGTACCAAATTGGTGCGATTTTATCCGGTATAAAAATAAAATGAACTAATACAAAGTTAACCGTAATCAAAATGCTCATTAATCTCTTTATGAAAAATGCGTTCAGTTGTTCCTTCCATACATTGCGCTATCGGGGGTTCCACGTTTGCAACTCTTTCGGCCTTACGCGCCTTAAACCATGCGCATACTTTGCATTCGGCCAACGGCTTTTTGCACCTGGCTCCTTGTCTTGACTGGAGATGATAAGCATATGCTACTGCTGCGAACACCGCTCAAACACGCCTTAACAATGCCACGCTCGACAACAAATGTTTGTATACACGCGACCCGTCATCACTGAACACGGTCGGGCCAGTCTCGAAGTCGGGTACTTTTGCAGTGAACAAGACCGTCCTCGATGTCACTGTGAACGATGATCGGATGGGCACCGACCTGAACGAGTTGGTAAAACTTTTGGTTCGCAAAGTCATGGCAGTCGCCGGGAAAATTGGGACCCGTCTGCATAAACAGATTCGCTTTGCTCCTAACAAGAGACCTGTGGAGAATCCGACTGTTGATATTCCTATCCGTGAGCATGAGATAATGGAAAGTGCGGATCTTGAGACTGCGTTCAGTGAGAGTGCGATTATGGAGACTGCGACCCAACCTTTTCATCAAATTTCGGATCCTCAAATGTACCGAGGAAAGTTCGAGAGCGCCATGCGGAACTTTGAACGTACCAAGGCATTTGGGAAATATGACAAAAATAATGATCTCATCGATGCGCCGAAACTAGGGAAGGTGTTGGAGGCTAATAAGGAAGCATCGGGATCGAAGCACGTTGAACCTGACGAGATCATAATTACCATGTTGCTCTCTAGAAGTCCACTAGATATGGTAAAGCTACTAAAATCGCTTCGTGAGATTGAGGGTATGGAAGGTGAGGCCGACGCGTTGCACAGGAGACTACTTGTGATCCTCAAAGATCATCCAGGCGTGGTGTCTTACGCGTGGATGGAGTCGGAATATCTTCCCGAAGAGCTTTTGAGATCGTCCGGTTGGATGGAATGATAGACTTTGATGAAACATCTATTTTTCTATCAGAGTGGCTATGGTACATAGGCAAGTACAGAGAAACACACTTCGATTCATTTCGCGTAGAACATGCAGCGATACTTTTGTTTCGAAGCAAAGGAGTTGAATACGCAAACGCCTTTTTTGATGGGATTAAAGGAATACCTGGACGTGAGAAACTCGCCGATGAGCTGCTTGAACTTTACGTCAAAGCTAAAAGCTCCCCAGTCTGGATGGAAATCTTGGGCACAGCAAATGAATATTTGCAGAGATACATCGAACGTCAGCATCTCGCTAAGAGGTATCGTGACGGAATAGTCGTGATGAAGAGGTATCTTTATCTTGAAGAAACACTTAATTATTACGAGGCTTCTTTCGTAAAGGAAGCATTATCGTTGGAGAAAAGCCCACTGCGTATCGTGAAATTTCCGGTGACGCTTCTTGAGATCGGGGGGGGGGGGCGTATGAAGTGGTCGTAGGACTGCACAGAATGCTGTTTGCACACTACAAGATTAACTGAGAGGCGATGTGTCACGCATGGATGGAACTGGAATTGTACCCACAATTGGTTCTCGAGATGCTTGGGTTGACGATGGATCAGCGAAACACTTAATTAAAACTGGTCAGCTTATCGGTGTGGTTAAGGTACGTTGACCTGTACCGAGAGAAGTACCCGCGAGCTTTTAGTGCCGAAGACGCGTTAAAACATTTGTTTCACAACAAGGGAGCAGTAGAAGTGGAGAAGATTATTGGAGAGATTCCGGATGTCCGTAAAAATAAGAAGGTTAAGGGACAGCTGCGCAAACTGTACCGCGCAGATGTGGCGAGTGAACAGGATAAGGATACGAAGAGTCAGTTCTGCAGGCATTTGAAGGATTGGCTCGGGAGCTTATTTGACGCCCGTCGGTTCTATAGGCATTTGAAGGATTGGTTCGAGAGCTTGTTTTAAGTGAGCGTCGTAGTGAGTAAGTCGATGATGTAAATGTGCATCGGATACAGTAGGCTTAGCGGTAGCATAAGTACGAAGTGAACTAAGGACCTCTTACATTTTACATCGTTTTCCACATTTTACCACTCAAACGACATTCGAAGAAGCACCAAGCCCGGCTGGCCGTCGACGAAATCTGCAGTCGACTTCAAAGTATAGATAGGGGAAAGGCTTAACGTAGAGTAGGTCATTTACCCGCGATGTCGGCCAATTGAAAAAAAGCCACGGACCGCAGCACAGCCCTTTTGAGTCCTAACAGAAAATGATTAGAAATGTAACGGGGTGAATCGTTACATAACAATTTATAAGAAATTGTTAATAGAATATAACTATAAGAGTTATATTCTCCGAATATTGTCATAAGGACAAATATTCTGCAGCACTTACGAGTAGTTCCTAATTGGTTGATATAGGCCATTATATCAACCAACGAAGACGCGCCACGACAGACGCACGCAATGAGTGGTGAGCAGATAGTTGATTTGCACATTTGTATTTAGACATAGTTAGATGAAGATTAATAGTGATTTATTAACAGACATTAACTATTATAAATACAGTTCTACTTTTTACTTTAACCAAGTACTCGCTTCTTCTTACCGTCTTCCTCTGCACGTACGAGTGTACGTGAAGTTCCGAGGCACCGCCTTATTCTGTCATCAATTTAAGTAGCTTGTACTGTTACCAGTAAAAGCTTCAGGGTGCCCCGTTACACCTGGTAGCACTTCGTAGTCCGTCCAAGGACCACGTTCACATCTAACATGAATATGTTGGATGATGAAGATGACCAAAGCTTTCACGCTACGCGTGACGGCTACTCCTATTTGAGCGATGTCGAATGGGATGCGGTTGAACGGATGGGTTCAACCATGGGCATCCATGCTGTTAGTGATTGCTAGAGGCTCTCAATACAGATTCCCAACATGCTACTATCGCCAAGTTCATTCAAAATGAACTTGACGCTGAACGCGAGAAAGTAGCCTTGCTTCACCAACAAGGTTCTCAACAAGCAGAGTTGTTGAGAGAACAGGGTGCTCAACAGTTTGAACTGTTGAGACAGCAGCAGGCTGCTGCTGGTGGGTCGATGCATTCGCGTCGACCCGAAACCTTGAAGATCGACATCTCAAAGTATAGGGGGGTCGAAGAAGACTCCCTCTTGAGATGGTTCGTCGAATTGGATGACGCCATAAGGGCGCGTCGCATCGACGACGGGGATATGCAAGTTGCATTTGCCCAGTCAAATCTGGCAGAACGTGCCAAGACTTGGGCACTGGGGCTCAAATTGCACGACCCATATGCGTTTGGGTCGTTGGAAGTCTTCAAGTCGCGGCTCAGACAAACGTTTGAACCGCCTAGAGCTGAGTTCAGAGCTCGAACCGAACTATTGAAGCTCAAACAGGGTAAGCGTGATGTGCACGCTTACGCGCAACATATACGACATCTCACGAGTTGTATAAGTTCCAACCCGGTGGATGAACACACGTTGGTTTCGGTGTTCATGCAGGGTCTTGCGGATGGTCCCGTCAAGACTCACCTGTTCCGACTTGAACTAGATTCACTAGAACAAGCCATTTCCATTGCGGAGCAGGAAGACTTCAGTCTGAGACAGGCTCGCGCCAGCTCGACATCATATCGTCAACCGAGACGATATGACAACGGAGGTCCAGAGCCGATGGAACTCTGTTATGTAGAGAGCGAGAAGGCTCGCTCTACAGGCTACAAGAAGTTGCAGAGATGCAATAGATGTCAAAAGACAGGACACTACGCTTACGAGTGTAGTGTCCCTCGTCCAGTGTCTCACGACACTGGGCGTAGTGACCGTCCACTCATGAGAAAGGGGCAGGGACGAGGGTCCGCAGTTGATGCAAAGACGCAACAACGGGATGGACCGTCAAAAAACGGACAGGATCAGTAGGTGCGGAGCACTCTACTGGTCTAGCAACGTCAAGAGAATTTGTAGGCCTCTTGATGAAGGTTGCTCCCAACACACAAACGTTGTGCATTGCTGCTCTAGGTAATGAGATCTCACTCATTACCTTGAAACTCGAAGTGACGAATAAGTTGTCCCTTTGAGCTCTAGTCGATTGTGGGGCGTCCAACAATTTTGTGCGACGCCAATCGCTAGAAGATGGTCACTTCAAGTTTGTTGAGTGTGACACACCTCCTACGAGGATGACGGTACGTCTTGCGACAGGCGTATCCGTAACCGTCATGAAGCGTATAGTGAAGACTCACTATACGCTAGAAGATACCCAGTATGACGATGACTTTATCGTATTGGATTTGGATGACAAATTTGATGTCATCCTTGGAATACCGTGTCTCAGAAGGTACGAACCACGGGTAAACTGGCAACATCGAACAGTAACGATGCCTGCCGCTTGTTCATCAGATGGCCATCTGATGAACGTCTTGGAGCGTCCACAAGCGTGTGGATGTACTACGAGTGAGTGCGATGGCCTCACTTGTGGTACGGTCGTTAGTACGACTGCACAAAACCTTAGTGTAACAAACGGTTACACTTCGGAGCAAAGTTCCGGCGGCTGTGAGGAAACACAGGCTGCGCCGAAGGTCCACCACTCGAATAAGTCGGGTGGACTGGGACGAAGATGTATCCCTAGCGGGGAACATCTAGAAGATAAACGATCGATCGCTCAGGTTAAGCGAAACGATAATCCTAGATCGACTGGAGATTCTTTCGTAGAGGATCTCGCTGTGGTTGCGCAACCCCAGCTAGAGGAAGTTAAGGGAATAAGTCCCGATTTTACAGATACGGCGGAAATAAGTTCCCCGAAACCCGCGGGAATAAGTCCCCGGGAAGCCGAAGGAATAAGTCCTTCGAGGCCTGAGGGATTATGTCCCCAGGAAATGACAGAGACATTGAATGTCATGGTCAATAACGGATCAAGTGTAGGCGCTTATACACTTGATCTGATTGCGCCTCCGAAGTTAACTTCGGAGATCACTCAGTTGCCAACGCTCGAACATAAAAGGTTCTTGCGTGATCTGCGTAGTGGCAAAGTCAAGCAGATCTGCATACTCGTCGCTGACGACGAGTTTGTAGCCGACATAAGGTCAGCAACAGTGTTCACTGAGAACGAGAGAGTTCTCAGTAGTTCATCTATGGACGAGAGTGTCCTAGATGAAAAAATACGAATTGAGCGATATGACTCCCAATCGTGGGAATCGCCCAAGACAAATCCTCTCTATGAAGATTTGGTTGAATTCAAGGATGTATTCCCTGAAACTGTCCGTGCGAGTTACCGAAGGATAAAGGTATTCAACACGAGGTCGAGCTTAAACCAGGCTCGAAGTACTGTGTCATGAAGCAGTGGCCACTGCCTCGTGAACAAGTACTTGCGATCGACAAGTTCTTTGCCGATCGTTTAGCTGCGGGCCATATGAGGGAATCAACTTCCCCACATAGCTCTCCGACCTTCTGTGTGCGAAAAGCAACAGGAGGGTGGCGGATAGTGCATGCGTTCAACAAGTTGAATGCTGCAACGGTACCGGCTCAGACGCCGATACCGAGGAAGGACGTCATCATTGATGGTATGTCAAAGGGTACCATCTTTTCGTCCATGGATTTAATGGATGGCTTCTATCAAATCCTTATACGAGAACGGGATATACCCTATACCGCAGTTAGCACGCCTAGCGGCATGCTCTGGGAATGGCTAGTAATGCCACAAGGGCTTAGTAATGCCCTTGCCACGTTCAACAGATGTGTATCACATCTGTTGAGACCAGTACGAGAATTCGCGCCGAGTTATTCCGATGACGTATTCATCCATAGTCGGGCTATGGATGGAAAGTCGGATGATGAGGTTCACAGATACCACGTCCGACAAGTTCTTACAGTCATGCGAAAGCATTAATTGTATGCAAACCTCAAGAAGTGTGTATTTGCAGCGAGCGAAATACCACTTCTTGGGTGCATCGTCGGTAAGAACGGTGTACGTCCTGATCCCGAAAAGATCAAGGCGATCACCGACTGGCCTGTGCCGGTTGATGTCGAAGGTCTTCGAAAATTCCTTGGGCTAGCGGCGTATTTGCATAAGTATTCACGCAATTACGCCGAGATGACTGTGCATCTCTCTCGTTTGTTGAAAAAGAACGAGAGATGGTTATGGAACACTGAATGTCACCGCTCCTTTGATGGTATCAAGCAGAGCTTGATACAATCCCCAGTCCTAGCAATAGCCGATCAGGACAGGCCATTTCATGTGGTCTGTGATGCCAGCGATTTCGCAATCGGCTGTGCATTAATGCAGTACGATCTTGAAGGCGTTGAACGCGTCGTCTGCTATCAGTCGCGTCAGCTGCAACCAGCTGAGCGGAACTATCCAGTGTATGACAAGGAACTCCTTGCCATGAAGTATGCACTCGCGAAGTTCAGAGTCTATCTATTTGGAGATAGACCCTTCATTGTTTACACTGACCATGCGTCTTTACGCACGGCAGTGAACAGCCCGCACCTTTCGCAACGAATGGCGCGGTGGTTGTCATTCTTTGCGGAATACAACTTTACGGTCGAGTACAAACCAGGACGACTTAATGTCGTCGCTGATGCACTCTCACGTCGTCCCGACTTTGAAACAGTCGCGAAACCCAACAGTGAGACAGTCACTGTTGCGGTTATGACGTCCTCAGTCCCATCTACAACGTTGTATGATGATGTGAGGCGGGCATACGCCCAAGATGGTGAGATTGTGAAGTTGTTGACACATCTCTCCCAACCATCTCGAGAATCGTTGAAACGATTATCGTCTGCGTATCGATCTGCATCAGATCGATACACTACTCGCAACGGTTTACAGCCGTTTCTGGTGACACACCACGTGTTGTCATTCCAGATGATACTGATCTGAGTTTGTGGATCATGTTCGAGTATCACGATGCTCCTATAGGAGGACATCGTGGCCGTGAGAAGACATGTCTCGCGGTGAGTCGAGACTTTCACTGGCCCCGCCAGTGTCAGTTTGTGCGAAAGTATGTTCGCGCATGCGAAGTCTGTCAACGAGTGAAGTCAAGTCCTTCACTGCGTGCACCTTTACAGCCTCTACCGGTTCCGGCTGAGTGCTGGGAATCCATCTCAATGGATTTCGTCTTCGGGTTGCCCAAAGACGCACGCGGGAATACGGGTATTCTCGTATTTGTTGACAGATTCAGCAAAATGGTACACCTAGTGGCTATACCAGAGACAATCACGGCAAGTGGCTGTGCTTGTGTTTTTATTGACACCATCTTCCGACTTCATGGGTTGCTCCGTGAACTCGTATCAGACAGAGATCCACGATTCACTGCTGATTTCTGGCGTTCCGTGTTCAAATCACTCGGAACGCGCTTGAAGATGTCTACATCTGATCATCCAGCGTCAGATGGTCAGACGGAACGTGCCAATCGTGTCCTTGAAGAGATACTTCGAGGATACGTACACTCCTTTAAGAGTTGGAGTGAGTTTTTGCCGATGGTAGAGTTTGCCATTAACAACTCGGTGCATGCGTCCACGACACATACACCGTTTTACGTGAATGGCTTGCGCCATCCGCGTGTACCCACCTTACTAGAGTGTAACTCTGGTTTAAGGGGGGGAGGGACTCGCGCGAGCAAAAACAGATTTGGTTCACGCTCATCACGCTCTGACGAAGAAGTCATTGCGTTTGATGCCGATATCGATAACATCGATATCGAAGAAGATGATGCCAGTGAGAGTGCGGAAGCACTCACTGAAGAAAAGATTGATGTTGCTGCAGTGCACTCACAGCGCACTGAAGCTAACGAGTCATCAGATGAGTTCATACTGGCTCGTGAAACGGTAGTCCGTTTTGTGCAAGACTCCATCGCCGAAGTGGTGGATAAGCAAAAGCAAAACGCTGACAAGAATGGAAGGGCAAACACTCTTTTATTTAATAAAGGTGACTTAGTCCTACTGTCTACGGTTAATCTACCAAAGCATGTAGTGACTAACTTGGGTAGCAGTAAACTACTACCCAAGTGCATCGGCCCATTTCGTGTATTGCACCGCCTAGGCAATGCATACACGATCGAGTTGCCACGTAAGATGCGAACGCATCCCACGTTTTAAGTTGGTCGGCTTAAGCCGTACCATCAGTACGCTGCTTCTTCCGATGAAGAACGCCCTTGCGCTCAAGCATCTCGCAGAGAGCCTTGTGCTCCCGATGATGGGCATCGACAAGGGTCTGGAGAGCAGTTGTCTCTGCCCGAGACCGATCAGCAATCCCACGAGCTACCATTAGCTCGTCACGCAGAGATGTCAGAGCTCTCTCGTTCTTAAGCTGAGCAAAGGCAAACTCAGCTCGATGCTTCGAGACAGTGTGCGCCAGTTGGAGACGCCTATTCCGCTCATGCGCGAGATCGTCGCGTAACCCTTGCGTTACGCGATTAAAGAAGCTCTCGGGAACACATGGATCCCCATGATCGTGTGGAGAGCGTCTTTCCTCCTCCTCCACCTCCATTAGAGGAATCTCGCGGTGGCCAGCGCTATCTAGTTGAGCAGCTGTTGAACCACCGCAACGTGAACGGACGTCGGACGAGTTATCTCGTCCGGTGGCGCGGCTATCCCCCGTCCTGGGATTCTCGGGAGCCCCGCTCCCAACTGATGATCGACGTACTGGGTCTGGTTGAGCAGTACGACGCGGCACATCCTGTGCCGCAGAAGGACCGCCGGAGAAAGTCTTCCCGGCACGGTCGTAAAGGGATTTCAAGTGGCAATCCCTTCGTACATCTCAATAGAGATACGTACGCGCCACCACGGGCTATTAGGGAGGTAAGCCTCCTTAGGTGCTCGTGCAGAGTTGTTCACACGACAAGGGCACGGGTCTCCCCAGGAGAGACAGGGTAATCCTTTCTCCCTTGACAGACGATGCAGCTTGTAGCGTGCACCTGTCGGGGTTCGCTTTTCAAACTTATCACGAGCTTTGATAAGTTTATCGTTCCAAACGTCACGACCTACATCCTCAAGGTTATGGATGTAGGCGTTCCACGCTTGAAGCAGTGAGGGACCATCACGTTTGTGATTCCCACTGTACCATCGATGTCTAAAGAAAGCATCGATGAAGAATTCATGCTCAGTGTGATAGTTTTTCGCGCTGGGGTCAAGGCGATGGATCCTTGACGAATCGAACAATCGTGTTCGATAACGATCACTCGTCGTCGCCGACAAGTGATCCATGACGGATTTTGGAGGCATCCATGCCTTCTTCTCGGGGGCGAGACGCAACACATTGCGGTCCCGCTCTTCCTGCGACGTGCTGACAGTAGGACTGGCACCTCGTTGCGAAGTGGTGTCCATAGGAGAACCGACTCCACTGTTAGCGCCCGAGTCTCGCGCTCTCGGCGGCCTTGCTCGCGCATCGCATGGGCTTGTTAACCATGCGATGAGATGTTGGAAAGTGGACTCGGACCAACAAGTGCAAACATTATCCCAAATGATTTGGGACGAGTATCCATTTAGTCAATCAGTCACTAAAGTGACTGATTGTTAAGGGGGTGATGTAACGGGGTGAATCGTTACATAACAATTTATAAGAAATTGTTATTAGAATATAACTATAAGAGTTATGTTCTCAGAATATTGTCATAAGGACAAATATTCTGCAGCACTTACGAGTAGTTCCTAATTGGTTGATATAGGCCATTACATCAACCAACGAAGACGCGCCACAACGGACGCTCGCAATGAGTGGTGAGCAGATAGTTGATTTGCACATTTGTATTTCGACATAGTTAGATGAAGATAAATAGTGATTTATTAACAGACATTAACTATTATAAATACAGTTCTACTTTTTACTTTAACCAAGTACTCGCTTCTTCTTACCGTCTTCCTCTGCACGTACGAGTGTACGTGAAGTAACGAGGCACCGCCTTATTTTGTCATCAATTTAAGTAGCTTGTACTGTCACCAGTACAAGCTTCAGGGTGCCCCGTTACAAGAAATAATCAATTTATGGGATCATTTAGTTTGTTCTCTATCTCAAATCGATTACCAATTATCAGTTTATGTGATCATTTAATTGGTCCATTCAAATCAATAGGGGGATTGGAGAACTGATGAGCAAAGTGGGACAGGGACGGTCAAAACAATTCCCTTTTATACCCTGCCACTCCTCTCTTGTATCCTGCACTATACATTTGTAGATCAACAGTGCTTTTAAGTCGTGCTCTGTGTTCCCATCGATCACCTAAGCACAAAAATCGTTGTGTCTGCATAAAATCCTGTCACCGAAAGGGACAGTACAACATCAATGATAGAATTTTGGCATTGCGTGGACACGACGACGAGACAAGTACTGTTAATGTTGGTCTTGTGATGTTGTCATTATAAGCTTTGCGTCGAAAGGAATAATTACCATTATACAGCCTTCCATGGCACAAGTAATTTATTGCTGATTGTAGACCATGAGTCGTGATGATAATCTGTGCCCGTCAGTGCTATCGGCCTATGGTTTTGTGACTGGATAATATCTACGTGGTGTTGTTAGCAATTGACTAAGTGCGAGGAAGCGTCAACGAACTGCTGGTATGTATTGATACATAGACTGCAGTTCATGTGATATTAGATTAAACCTTACTGGTGCTCCAGGTTTGACTAAGCTGGACGTTCAGTAGATATCGTTCCTGCTCCTCCGTGTAAAGGGGTAGCCTGTTACATGATCTTGACACCAAATGGTGGCAATAGGGAGATTTTCTAGCATGACAATTCGCTGCCAATATCATCCGAGATAGGTACTATTGGAGGAATAGTATCCCTTTTTAGATAATTTTCATGCGCTGCTCCAAGATTGGTTGATAAAAGACATACCAACCAAAATTATCACCAATCGATGCTAGAAGCGTAATGAGTAGTGAGCAGGTTGTCGTCATACGACAATGTTGATTAATACAGTTACATAAAGATTAAAGTTATACTGAAAGCTTAACTATATCAAATGCAGCTCTCTTTTTACCTTCACTTGAACGAGTAGTTCAAGTATATTAGCTTCCTCTGCACGTTCTAGTGTACGAGAAGTTTCGCGGCACCCCAAACAAAGGGTGACCCGTTACACCTGGTAGCACTTCGTATTCCGTCCAACGACTACTTAGTGTCCGTCCAACAGGAACACGTTGGACGTAGAAGACGACAGCTTTCACGTCACACGTGAAGGCTACTTCCATCTGAGTGACTTAGAATGGGAGGTAGTCGGCCGCATGAGTGTGCTCATGGGCGAACCCGCCATCAGTGGCATGTTGGAGTCTCTAAACAAAAACCATCAACATGACGCTATCAACAAGTTCCTACAAGGGGAACTTGCCGTCTAAAGACAAAATATAGCCTTGCTACAACAGCAAGGTTCTCATCAGTAGATGAGCGGGCCGACACACACGCATCAACCCGAAACCTTGAAGATAGATATCTCAAGGTACAAGGAAACCGATAAAGATTCTTCCTTGAGATGGTTCGTGTAGTTAGACGATGCCATCAGGGCCCGTCACATCGAGGGTGACAAAATGAAAGTCACCTTCGCCCTGTCAAATTTGACGGGACGAGCAAAGACTTGGGCCTTAGATCTCAGGCTTCACGACCCAAACGTGTTGAGTCGTTAGAGACCTTGAAGTCTCGGCTCAAAGAAATGTTTGAGCCACCAAGAGCCGAGTCTAGAGCACGCTCTGCACTCTTGAGGATCAGAAAGGTAAGCGTAATGTGCACGCTTACGCACAACACCTACGCTAACTTGAGATTAGCGTCACGAAAAACCCTGTTGATGAGCACACGCTCACCAACGTGTTCATATACGGCCTCGTAGATGGACCGGTGAAGACCTACATGTTCCAAGAGGACTTCCATACGCAGGAAAAGGCGATAGCGTATGCGAAGCAAGAAGCCTTCAGCCTGAGACATTCTCAGGCTAACTCGTCAAACTATCGTCCGACTAGACGACAGGAAACAGGAGGTCCCGAACCAATGGACCTCTGTTACATCGAGAGCGAGAACTCTCGCTCTCTGAGTCACAAGCGAACGGCAAGATGCCATCGCTTTCAGAAGATGGGTCACACCCCTCATGAGTATAGTGTCCCAATCACCGCATCACTTCCAGAGACGGAACGTGATGACCGCCGTTGGCCAATGAAAGGTCCAAGTCGTGGGTCCGACCATGTCGCTAAAACCGAGACAGGTAAAAACGGCTTGGAGCGTCCACGAGCGTGTGGATGTACTACGCATGAGTGATATAGCCTCACTTGTGGTACGGTCGTCAGTACGACTGCACAAGATCACAGTATAGAAAGCCACTACACGGTGGAACCATCTTCCGGTACTTGTGTAGAGACACAGGCTACGCCGAAGGTTCACCACTCGAAAAGATCGGGTGGACTGGAACATGGATGCACACCAAGAAGGGTGCATCCAAGAAGAGAGATTAGTGTTGTTGAGGATGAACAACACGTTGAAGCGACATAAAATTATAGAGAGTCGATCGTAAAGCAAACACGATCGACTGAAAGATAGTCGATCGAAGAGGACGTGAATGTGATAGTGCACCCACATTCAGAACACGTATTGGAAGAAAGTTCCAGCGTTCCTGAGAGTGTAGAGGGTGTAGATCCCCAACCACCTGCGAGTTTGTTTTCCCAGGAAAGCTTGGAGACAGTGAATGTCTTGGTGAATGACGGATCAAATGTAGGCACTTATACACTTGATCTAGTTACACCCCCCAAGTCAGCTTCGGGAGTAATCAAGTTGCCAGCGCTAGAACCTGTAAGATTCTTGCGAGATCTGCGTAGTGACAACATCAAGCAGATCTGCGCACTCGTCACAGAGGACGAGTACGTCGCCGATATTCGGTCGGCACAAGTGTTTACTGATAACAAACAAGTTCTAAGTATCTCATCGATGGACAAGAGTATCCTCGATGAGAAGACCCGCATTGAGCGGAACACGTCCCAATCTTGGGAGTCTTTGAAGACAAATCCTTTGTATAAGGATTTGGTCGAATTCAGGGATGTTTTCCCTGAATCCGTGCCATGCGAGCTGCCCAAGGACAAAGGCACTCGGCATGCGATCGAAATGAAACCCGGTTCGAAGTACTGTTTCATCAAGCAGTGACCCCTGATTCATGAACAGGTAACAGCGATCGACAAATTCTTTTCTTATTGCTTAGCGGCTGGTCATGTAAGGGAATCAACTTCCCCACATAGCTCTCCGACCTTCTTTGTGCGAAAGACCACAGGAGGGTGGCGGATAGTGCACGCGTTTAACAAATTGAACGCTGCAACGGTACCGGCTCAGACACCGATACCAAGGAAGGACGTCATCATTGATGGTATGGCAAAAAGTAACATCTTTTCGTCCATGGATCTGATGGGTGGATTCTATCAGATCCTCATGCGTGAACGGGACATCCCTTACATAGCAGTGAGCACCCTCAGTGGTATGCTATGGAAGTGGATAGTGATGCCACAAGGGCTAAGTAACGCCCCCGCAACGTTCAAAGGATGTGTCATGAATCGGTTGCGATCGTTGCAAGGCTTCGCCCCGAGTTACTTTGACGGTTTCTTTGTCCATAACCGGGCTATGGATGAAAAGACGGACGTGGATGTTCACAGAATTTACGTTCGTCAAATTCTTCAACTTATGCGAGAGCATAAGTTGTTCACGAACCTCAAGAAGTGTATATTCGCAGTGAACGAAATACCACTTCTTGTCTGCATCGTGGGTAAAAAACGGCGTGCGACCTGACCCGGAAAAGATCCAGACGATCACCGAATGTCCTGTGCCGATCGATGTCAAGGGACTTCGAAAGTTCCTTGGCTTAGCGGCGTACTTGCACAAGTACTAGGGCGATTACACCGAGATGACCGTTCACCTCTCTCTTCTGTTAAAGAAATTGAGAGGTGGTCATGGAGTGCTGAGTGTCAGCACTCCTTTGAAGGTATCAAGAAAAGCTTGATACTATCGCCTGTGTTGGCGATTGCAGACCAAGACAGACCATTCTACGTGGTCTGTGACGCCCAATCGGCTGCGCGTTGATGCAGTACGACTCAGACAGTTTTGAGCGCATCGGGTCTGTTATCAATCGCGTCAGCTGCAAGCAGTTAAGCGTAATTATCCGGTTCATGACAAGGAAGTCCTTGCCATGAAATATTCATTGGCTACGTTTCGGGTGTGTCTCTTAGGAAATAGGCCCTTCATCGTTGATACCGACCATGCGTCCTCACGCACGGCCGTAAACAGTCCACACCTCTCGCAACGAATAGCGAGGTGGCTGTCTTTCTTCGCGGAGTACAACTTCTCCGTCGAGTACAAACCAGGAC